TAATTGTTATTGTACTTGAATTCTTTGACCCAAAGAAAAATCTTTTACTAAGTTTGACAGATCTTTAATGGGAAAGACATAATCACAAGGTAAAAGATAAAGAAGATGATTGGAATAAAATTCTTCCCTCTCTAAAAACAGTTACAGAGGAGTCCTGAAGGCTGTTATTCAGATGGCATTGTTTGAAACTGCAAAGTGAACAACCAGATGTAGGAAAACACTTGTTGTCAACACAGGTAACTGTCTTGAGAATTCAAATGCTAATTTTATCTAAAAGATACCCTTAATTATTATCACTGTTGCTGAATTCAAAGATTGGGAGTTATAATTGATGTTTAAAGTGCTGTTCCTAACACAAATTATCCAAGTATTTTATGGCATAATCTATAGAATAAATAAGACCCTGTATGGTTTATTATTGATGTTCTTTAATGCAATATTGATATTAGGCATCTGAGATTTTATAGGCAGAATATATGCACATGATGGACAACTATCATTTTTGCCTTCAAGATGATTCATTCCCCCAGTTTTTGGGAAAAAAAAAAAAGGAACCAACTCTCCCTCTCTTCAACAAAGTGACATTATGGGGTCTGCCAGTAATAATATCTTCCACAGAACCCAACCACACTGCAGTTAGAAACATGATCTTGAGGTCAGTCAGCAGTAGCCTTTACTTTCTAAGCTGTGAATACATGACCCAAATTTTGCCAATATCCTGGGACTTTTTTCTGCTTGCTATGTGCTTGTGAGAGAGGGGGAGAGAGAGAGAGAGAGAGAGAGAGGGAGAGGGGGAGAGAGAGAGAAAGAAAGAGAGAGAGAAAAAAAAGAGAAAGTGAGAAGCACCACCTACTGGGGATAGTCACACCACAATCCCTTCTCCTCCATTTTCCTCTTGGGATTTTGGGCATGTATGCATATGCAATCAGTGTGTATTTTAAGCCACTAGGTTTGAGACTCGAGCTGCACAGTCACCATGTGGGATCCAGCTACCTTAACCATCAGGACATTGGTCGGCCTATTTCCTGGAACTTTTTAAAGCTGCATTGGGTGAAGCATCAATGAACATAAGAAAGAGAAAGAAATTTGTGACCCTGGTGATCTTAGCATCAAAAGCTTCATAGGTGTGGAGAAAGTCAGCCGAGAGAATGAAATCGTCACAAAGTGAGCAGAGATAAAAGAGGAAGAGAAAACCCAGTTGGTTCCAGTCTTCATTTCCTAGGTATTCCTACCCTCTTTTACAGGTAGTTATGAAAACCATGACACTGTCCTCAGTCCAAAGTAGTTGAATCTATGACACTTATAGAATAGTTTGTCTGTCCATCTGTCTATTCATCTGTCTACTCTCAGTAGGTTAACATATACTGAAAGCTGGCCATGTGCCAGGTGCTCTGTTTTATGCACATTTTCAGGTGCTGGAGATAAAGCAGTATATAAAACAGGGTCTAGTATTTGAAAGCCATTCAATCTAATGTATCAAATAAATTAGATAACAGGTGCTAGCAAGGAAGATGAAACAGAACCAAGGGGATAGGGACTGCTGAGGCCTGGGTGAAGCATCAAGGAAGGTTTCTCTTGGGAAGGAGCATCAGGTAGAGCACCTGGCGAAGTGAAGCAGTGAGCTGTAGGAAGACGTGAGATGAGAGTTCCTGGCTGAGGCCAAACAGTGCTGAGATCGGGTGGATTAACTAAGCTTGCCCTGTGGACATGGATGTCAAGGAGGGCACAGCAACCACTTGTATGGCACAGGAATAAGCCTGACAGGGTGGATGGAACATGGATTCTTTCAGAGAGTCAGACAGACCTACTTAGGAGAGCTGGCACTTCTGTTTGACTTTGGTGTGAATATATGAATTCTTGAGATTAATTTCCTCATGAGTAAAATGGAAATACCATACATCCTTTAATTATGTCATTTATGTGTTCACTCAGCAAATCCTATATTTCAGGCACGTTTTAACCTACTGGATCCTTTGGTCTAGAGAGGAAAAAAAAAATTCAGAAAGTGTTTATGTATCATATTTATATAAATATAAGATTTATTGCTGAGTGAAGTGAGTCAGGCTATGATAGAGAGACATTGTATATCTCCACTTAATATACACTGACTGTTCACATTCTATGGTAGAGTCTGAAAGATTGGAGGACACAGAACATTGAAAATAGTTATGGACACTGGAAATAGTGTGGAAGGAGGGTGAGAGAGGGGAAGAGTATAGGGAGGGTAATAAGAGACAAAAAATAGAGAGGTAAGACATTTGTGGGACACCAAAATGGTTTATTCCCTGTTGATGATAACGTGTACAGTATTCTCAACTAGACTGGTTTGAGGTGTATTTCATGTTGAGTAAATTCTCCATACAAGCTAATGTATAGCGATTGAATGTATACAAAATAGTGATACTAAATTTAAAAAGAAAAGATTTTTAAAATCTATATGTCTCTATATTTTTACATGTGTGACTCTGTGTGTGTGCGCGTGTGTGTGTGTGCGTGCATGCGTGCCTATTAAGCAAGTTTGGAGTCCTACATAAGGGCACCAGGAGAGAGGCATCTAAACTTGGTGAGAAGGGATGGTGGGAGGGCTGCCTGCCTTAATTTTTATGAGAATCCAAGCCAATGTATATTGCAGGCTTATTTTAAGAGACTTTACACATGTCATCTTACTTGATTCTCATGGGCCAGTGAACATACAACAACTCCAACCCTGAGAAATCCTAGAATAGATTTTATCTCTGCACTCATAGCACAGAAGAGATTCTTGGAAGAGGCATGATCAAGTTGACCAGATTTCAGAGAGTTACTTTTCCATAACTAGAGAAGTGTCCCCAGGAAATTGTCAAAATGTTTCTTTCTGAGCCGCAATTAAACCAGAAGTACTCAACCCAATGCACAGTGGTATTTCACATGTACATTCCAATTTAATGAAATTCTGTTCATGTCTGTAGAAAAAGACTTAATAATTTACTTGTAGAGTCAACATCTGAATGATTTAAAATTCTGTTAACCCTGAGAGAAGGAAAGCAACACTTTGCTGGGACTTTAAAGTCCTGAATCTTTTTATTTATTTATTTATTTATTTATTGTTGTATTTTAAGCGATATTTTTGCTCTAGGGCATCTGTGCTCACGAGAGACACAGAGAGAGACAGGAAACAGAAAGGGAGAAATCCCCTCCCCCCGGGGGTAGCCATGATGCTATCCTTTTTCCTCCATTCTCCTCTCAGGATTTTGGGCACACACACAGGCACATGTGCCCAGTGTAAGTTTCAAGTTGTCGGGCTCAGGACTTGAACCGCAATCAGCCATGTGGGAGTCCAGTGATGTAGCCATTATACCATCTGCTGGTCCCTCGAGGCCTGAATCTTAACATCCCAGTTGCTCTTGGGCTATGCAACTTGGGGCAAACCTGTCCTCTTGAGGGAACTCAGTTTCTATGAAGATAATTAGAGGAGGTTTCTGGGATGTCTTCTCACCACTGTGAGCCTTGAGCTGCTGCAGACTCTCTAGCACATGTCCTTAGACACTGTTAAAGTGAATCACAAGCCCTGCTCTACAGTCTCCCCAACACCTACAGTCCACAGTGGGTCCATTCAAAAACACACACAAAGCCTACTTTGTATTTCTGCATGTGAGTTAACTGACACTGTAATGATTTATCCCAAGCAAAATTATGTATGGAGGGGTCTTCATGGATAACATTCAAGAGGTAAGTGTTAAATCAGCTTCACAAAGTCTTCTTCTCAAGTGGTTCTACTACAAGGCAGTTCAAGGCCCCATTTACTCCTCTGCCTAAACACTATCAGCTCCAGAAGCACAGCAGCTGGGCTTAATGTTAATTATTTAAATAAATAGTTTCCATATATTTATATATATTACATATATACATCATAATTTGTATTTATAAATACATAAACATTTTAAATGGACGTTTTTGGGAGATGCTCTTTCTTTAACCACCTGAAGCAGGGTCCATAGTTTCCCTAATATTCTTTTTTTTTTTTTTT